TTTAATCCCAGCACTTGGGAGGCAGAGGCAGGCGGATCTCTGTGAGTTCGAGACCAGCCTGGTCTACAGAGCTAGTTCCAGGACAGGCTCCAAAGCCATAGAGAAACCCTGGTTCGAAAAACCAAAAAAAAAAAAAAAAAAAAAAAGTATTTCAATTTTTATTGGTGTCAACAATGAACAGAACATTTTTAGTAGTCAAATATATGTGACAAAAGAAATAAAACTATTTGTACAAAATGGTGTTATGAGGACATCAACACTGAGAAAGTAGGGACTTTTATAATTTTCTTAAGATTTATTTTTATTTTACCTGTACAAGTGTCTTATGCAGCAACCATGGAAGCCAGACTAGGGTGTCTGATCTCCTGGAACTGGAGATACTGATGATTGTTAGCCTTCATGTGTCCTGGGAATCAAACCTGGGTCCTCTGGAAGACCACTAAGTGCTCTTAACCCCCAAGCTATCCCTCCAGCCCTAGAGCTATTTGTTGTTTTCTTTTAATATCAGCAATATCGTTCATACTCCGAAGTATGTTGATGTCTCTTAAAGCAGCAATTCAGTTTACATAAAACTAAGAACTTTATTTGAAATTTCTTCTAGCATTTCATAAATGATATGTGTAGAAATGAGAAGAGAGTAAGGTGTGCCAAACATTAAATCTTCACTAAATGTTATGCCTGGATTATTTCTGTCTTTATGGTTTCTGTATTATATCTATCATCCATCCATCTATCTATCTATCTATCTATCTATCTATCTATCTATCTATCCATCCATCCATCCATCCTTCCAGCCTTCTATCATCTATCTAGTTTGTAGGGTCTGGAGAAATGCTTCCACAGCTAAGAATGTTTATTGTTCTTTTAGAGGACATGAATTTTGTTCCTGGCACCCATTTAGGTGAATCATAATCACCTGTGTCTCCAGCTCCTGGGGATTTGACACCTTTTCTGGCCTCTGTGGGAACCTGCATACATGTCATACACACACACACACACACACACACACACACACACACACAGAGTTTTATTTGTATATAATGAAGTTTTGTGTGTGTGTGTATATATATATATACTTTATATATACTACATATATGTGTATATATGTATATATAATGTAGAGAGACAGAGAATGTTAGCATAGTAGCCCCATCCTTTTCCCCTTCCCCTCCCTCTTTTGAGTACCTTCTCCCATTAATCCCCTTTAATGCCCTAGATAATTTCACTTCATTTATACATCCATGATTTATGTTACCATATAAAGTTTAGAAACCATAAATGAGAATATGTCTGAGAAGGGCTTCGGTTAATGATCATCCAGTTGCATCCATGTTCCTGAAAATGACGCAATTCTATTCTTTGCCACAAGACTGGATACTGTTAAATATAAATTGCATTATGGAACTGCAGGTAGGAAATCTTTGCCAATGGTTTTATAAACCAAGAAGGGTAGGGTCCCCTTGATTTCTCCTTGCTGCATTAGGTTAGTGGATGTGGGCAAATATGCACTCACTGCCTTCAGTCTCTCTCCCTCTTCTCACCTTACTTTTGAAATCCTTTTATTGATGAAACCCTTTATAAATAAAAGGAACAGAAAAATGTGTTAGAAAAACAGACTTTTAATTGGGACAAAAGTAAAATGTGTACTAAAAAGGACAATCATGATAAATCTTTTAAAAAATTTATTTTATGAAACAAATTGTGTGTATGTGACTCTGTGTTACACATGTGTGCATGTGTGACTGTCAGAGGGCAGTTCCATGTAGCTGGTTCTGTCCTTCCATCCTTACATGCTTTCCTGGGATCAAACTCAGGCTGCCAGGTTTGCATGGCAAGTGCTTTTACCTGGCAAGACATCTTTCCAGAGTCATGATACAATTTCAGGTGGAAAGGTCCCTTGTTCTTCTCAGTTTTCAGGTAGAAAAAATGCCGTAAGGCAAAAGACAACATTGAAAACAGGAATAGACTCAATCTCCCGGCTTCTTAGATTTACACTCTAATCCTTCTGGGCTACAATGTTTTTCTACAATAAGCAATATTCAAGAAAAGAAAAAAAGGAAGGAAGGGATAAAAAAGGAAGGAAAAAAGAAAAGGAAGGATGGAAGGAAAGAAGGAAAAGTTAAAATGTTTGTTGTTTCTTGTGAAGCAAGTTTCATAACAAAAGATTCATTACAAGATTTATAAATCCAATAAATTCTATTTTATTTTTTGAGCTCTGGCCCTAGCCATCACTGGTTCATCCTTCACCGCGATCAACTTCATGTGAGCAAGAGGTCTATTGATTTCCATGTAATACAAGAAAATATTACATTTGCTTAATTGTTGCACAGCAAACACACCAGACAAGAAATCAAGGCTCTATTTAATGCTGCAGCAGCAGAGAATTACAGAGATCAATAGGGTAGTTTGTCAAAGATGTTCTCCTAGGAGACTTACCTATCACCATGCGGACAAGAAGTCACACTGACTACAGTTATCGAAAAACAGGTAAGCAGAGTCAGCAGTACAGATTATCAGAAATCAAACGGGCCGGAGTGAAAAGAGGTACAACTGGATTGAAAAGCTGTATTTACGGTCTGGTAATTAAAAACTATTTTATCAACCTTGTGTTGAGACCAAACCTTTACGGCATGTATTGACATGATCAGCAGCAGTGAATGAGCAGTATTTGACTTAGAACTTATGAGCTATAGTTATTTAACACTGTCCTTACAGAGGAAATCAGTTCTAGCCTTCTTTGCAAAATGCTAATAGTTGTTTTTATTATTAATGAAGCTTAATGCAACACCATCTTCTTTGGGCAAGCCATTCATTTAACTAGTGTCAAGCATATTTTCTGCACTAAATACACTGGCATAAGTACTTCTTTGATTAAAGTGTTACTTAGAATTGTGTTTGGACAAGTGAACAATTAGTACAGTTCCTTATCTGTAGCCCACTTGAAATGACTACATTTGAGGGGCCCATTTGTATGACTTCGTTATTCTGATGGTCTCACTCAGGAAGTTCACTTGGTATTAACTTGCTAGAAAGAACATCCAAATGTTGGTTAGGTGAAACTGTGTAAACACTGCACTATCCGCAACACATTAACATAAAACGCTATATAATATATGTTTGTAATTATGAAGTGATCATAAATCTTAAATACCCATTGGCTTAGAAATTAAATAGTCCTACTTAGTTCTCCCTAAATTACTCCAAATTTCAGAAATTTACCATTCGTCTGGGTATTTTGTGACTATCTCCAAGGATAAATTTTTTTAATGACTTTGCTTTCAACAATGCAATTAGCTTAATAAAATTGTAATGCAAAAGGGATATCAGGTTTTAAAATTTTCAGTGCACTCCCCGTGGTCAGTAGATCTGTGGATATGTGCCATTTCAGTTCACTGCTTTTATAGACAGCTGGCAAACTCATTCTTTCTGGGGCTTTCTAGACCTTAACTTTCTTATAGCTTTGTAGTACATTATTTTTTAACTTAATAATGAGTATTAATTTCATTCACCTTGTTGTGTTACATTGACAAGAGCTATAACTACATTAAGTACTATGGAATTGCCCTTTTTGTTGTTGTTGTTGTTAGGGTCTCATGCTGACCAGGCTGATGTTGAAAATGCCCTACAGCTGAGGGAATTTGACCTCCTGACCTTCCTGCCTCTACTTTCCCAGTTCTGGGGTCACAGGAGTACAACTGCACTTTATTCCTACTACTCGGTCCAGATAAATACTATAAACGCTTAAAAAACAAACAAACAAAAATCACTTCCATGCAAAATCTTAACACCTGGATGCTTAAGTTTTCAGTCGCAATCAGATTCTTACCTATTTTGAACTTGTCAATGACACCGTATCATCTCCACTAAGTATTCACCATCATTGCTAATATCCAGCCTTAGAATCCGTGTTCATCCTCTCCTTTTTTACCTGCAGTTTAATCTAGTTCTAGGGAAACAGGAGTGAAATCACATGTGTTTGTAGTTCCCATTAGTTAGACGATACAAAATATATAATAATGTAGAAAAAGCTTCCCTTTTGGGAATAGTGATTCACCTTAAAAACACACACACACCATAGAAAGGCAAAGGTGTTTGCCGGCATTTTATTTTAAAGAATCAAAAATAAATATTTCACACACACACATGCATGGAACAAATTCATTGACATTTGTATTTTCCAATACACATTTTCAATACATGGCACCTTCATCTTCTTTATTTAGAAAATAGATTGTTATTGGTCCGTAACTGGTATGAACAGTCTCTGTGACTCTGGCAAATAACCAGGAGCCAAGTCCATATAATAAGGTCGGAATACCTAGAAAACAAATGAATATGTTACATGAGAAGATCAGTACTTATTAATCATGTACTAACATGTCATGTTACTGATCATGTAAACCGTCTTCAACAATGCTGACATAAAGTTATAGACACAGAAATATATGACTAGGTGCTCACTATGATTCCTGAAGAGCTGGACTTTATCTCTGTGGGACATAGTGGCAATTATGTGAGCCTAGATTTTTAAAACCACAGATGAGACTGATATAAACTTTAATGCAGAGCACTTGCTTAATTCATTATCTTCAATTAATTATGAAGTAATTTTATATTCTCACAAATAAGCAGAAAAGAGTATTCATTAATTTGGTTGTAAATGTCCCTATTTGCTTTAAGCTAAATTTACTAGGACCACTTTGTTGTTCTGCAAGTTAGATAGGAACACTGATGGATAAGGAAATTTTTGTTCAACTAAGAAACTGGCCAATTATCTTCAAAATCTAAAGCAAAATATAACTTTTAGGAATGTTTTAGTGTACCTGGCATGACAAAGAACTCTCTCATTATTTTGTAATTGATTTGAAAACAATCTTGTTTCACCTTATCTACATGGATTCCAAAAAGTCTCTCTCTTTCAAGATTGCCATTAATAAGGCTTTCCTGTTTTATTTGAGATTAACTGCTGTATGCTCTATATCAAACTGAACATATACTACCCAGAAATATGGATTCATATGCATATGATGCTATGTTGAATGCAAAACAGTTTTCCAGAATTCTTAACTTTTAAGACACTTATTTAAAATCAATGACTATTAACATATTAAAAACACACTGCATATATATGTGTGTGTATAAAACCACAGGCACACAGATCAAAAACAAACACTGTAGGCCTACACAAGTATTAATTTTATTGCTTCCATGTGGGAAATGGACAGAAAGAGGCAATTCAAAATGATAACTGCTCATTTGGAAAATCTCTTTCTAGTTAATAGAGAAACCGACACACATTCAGCACTGATCGTACTGCTGACTTTTCTTCCTTTGCTGCAGAATAGCCTCACTGTGTCATGCTCCCTTTGGACCTGTGTAACAGAGGAGACTGCACCAGCTGGCAATGAGTCGGTGGACTGAGGAGACAGGTGTCTCCTGCTCAGGTCCTTCTCTGCTTTTGGGAGCATACCAGGTTACAGTTTGTATTTTATCACCACAGAATCCCCTGGTGCTCCCAGGGAACTTTCTACAGTATACTGCTGTCTTTGCCCTCATTGTGCCCCAAAGAATCTCAAATGTTTCAAGGGGCAAAAACAAATCCTCAAAAACTATAATAATAATTTGCTATTTGCAAATCATTCATCAAAAAGATAAGAAAAAAGAAACAGAAAATCAAGCGGTATGCGGTGGGAAGGCAGGCTGACAAGGTAAGGCAAATGTAAAATGAATTCCAACATGACACTACCACTCCAAAATCTGAAACCCAATGGGATGAGGAATTTAAAAGGCCTTAGAAGCAATCATTAGTTTTCTATACATACTGAGAGTAAGACAGACACAAGGTACCTTCCAAACCAATACTAAGGGTGGAGTGTAAGGAATGGTAGTGACCCTGAGAGTTATTTTTTATAAAGTTTACCACAGCTTCAATTTAAATATTATTTTAAAATGTATACTTTTGAAAACAAATCATACAAATAAATGTCCCCCATTAATAAAGAACTAATTAATTATTACTAGTTAATAATAAGCCCATGAAGAAACCATTATCAGTCATGCTTACTGACAGGGGTCAAGTTGATAAGGGAGTCAGAAATTCTCTGTTGGAATGAATTGAGTTTTTTGTATTTTTTTTCCACCCTAGAATGCAGAGAATAATGTAATAACGAGGAAGCTTTGTTGCCTCTATACTTTACAGATTAAAAAAAAAACTGTTTGTATGCATCAAAATCAAAATCTTTAAGATTCTACAAGAAAAAAAAATTCAGACTACCAGAGACAGAGAACATCAAAATGAACTTGAAAAACAGTTCTTTGTATTAATAATTCATTTTGAGTTAACTGAACGGTAGATAAACTAATGTCGAATTAGGCACTTAGAACAACTGGAACTTTGTAGTAAGGTTTCTATTACTCATTTATTCCAAGTGTAAGTTGCTTTTCTTTAAATCTTAATTTATTTCCCAGCAGGATACTTAGGCTGATAAACCATCAGAAAATGTCGGTTCCGTGGGAGGGAAGGTGGAGAGGAAAGGGAAAATGAGTAAACAGAAATCCTTATTTACAAAACAGAAAATGAATTATTCTGATTACTACTCATTTAGAAGGGAGGACGAGGAATAAAATCGTTTGTATTCTTATTACCGACTAAGGACTTGATGATCCAGAGGGGCAAACTGTACATCACAGACTAGGATCCTGTTACTTAATTCACATTTCCCACAGTTCAGACAAAAAAAAAAAAAAAAAGGCAACATAAATATTACTACACTGGTAAAAAGCCCAGAAAAACATTTCAGAGTAAGTCAATCGTACTGAAGCACGCAGGGACGCGGTCTCCCTTGGCTGCACTTCCAACTCTTCTTCCCATTCAAAGCTGCATTTTTTTAAGAACTTCTAGAAGCCCCCAGACTATTAAATTGCTCTTCCACATTAAAAGACAAACAAAAATCATCCCCACATCTGTTGGATTTTTGAAAAGGTTTTATTTTCTATGTGGGAATGTGAATTTTTTTCTTCTTTTGGTGTCTTAATGCCTGACACCTGAAAGACAGCCATAATCATGATTAGTAATGCGACTTTTAAATGTGACATTTAAATACAGGACTGGGTCTATTCAGTTACCCTGTCCCTCGGCCTTACAGCTTTCCTATCACTCCATACTTGGAAAAGAATGACTCCTACTGATCCTGAAAATGCTAACCACAAACTCATTTTCACAAGTAGTCAGTACTCCAGCTTTCCCACATACTTTCAGTCTCAAGTTTCTAAGTCATCTCATAGCAACTTTACAAAAACCTCAGAAGTAGGGGGCATAGCTCTGTGTAGTCCTTCAGCCAAGTAATGAGACATTTTAAAAGGATTATATATACTGTTTATAATCTCTTTCCTGGATTAAGCCCAGGGCAGTGCCAGTGGGACAATAGTTCAAAAATCCCATAAGTGACATATGAGTTATAAGCAACACTGCCCTTGTCTTATTTAATTTAATGAACTATTGGATTATATATAATACTAGAACAGCTGTACAGTTTAGTGTAATTTTGGATAAAAAAAATAAAAACCATTTGGGTTATTCTGATTCGGCTTCCTTGTGCAGAGTTTGAGTGACTGAAATCGAAATCTAAATTAATTTTTTAGTAGCTATTAATAGGTCCGAAACATCTCGAGGGCTTGTATTTTTCCCTGATCTATAAAATGCTATCACATCTACGATCCATGATATTGACCTGCTGTTAAACCAAAAGGACGTGGACATCTACCGGGAGGAGTCACAGCCAGAATTAGATGGCCAGGAACACAAGTCCCAAGGAGGCAGCCTCTTTCAAATGCCTTTTTAAATCTAGCACCTGAGAAAATTATGATGCCTGGAGGGAACCTACTGCTCTTAGCAAAACACACTTGCTGAGATTTCACATAAAGAAGACAAAGAAACTTTAAAAGTCCGTCCAGTTTTTGTCCTCCAAAGGCTCCCAGTGACGAGCGCGGGAATGACTCCTGCTCAGCAACTTCAGGGCCACTGTCCAAGTGGGGGGCGTTTCCTGACTCGCTGTCTAAGGCAGGGTCCTCCTGCGTGGACAGAGGCAGGGCACGACCTCAGGGGTGATGCAGGCAGCCCACCGGGCCCGAGCAGCGAGCAGCGTGCCTGGGGACCAGCAACCGCCCGCCGGGCCGGAGGTGTGCCCGGGTCAGGCGACGGCGCCGCCACTCACCCAGATTGATGACCTTGAGCGCGGTGAAGAAGCGGTTCTGCCCGGCCAGGTCCTGCCACGGCGCTTTGGAGCAGTGGTACTTGATGAAGGGGAAGCAGCCGGTGCGCAGGACGTGGTAGTTGGCGCCCGGCACGGGCCAGTTGAAGTGCGACAGGCCGAACTGGTCGTTGTGGACCGCGCTGTAGGGCACGCAGAAGGAGGTCCAGTGCGGCAGGCGCCGCTGCAGCAGGTGCCGCGTCAGCACCTCCGAGGCGCGGGGCTTCGGGCGGGAGGCGGCGCCCACGGCCCAGGGCCTGTACAGCAGCAGCCGCAACGCGGCCTCGTGGGCCCTCCGCAGGGCCTCCATGCCCGGGCCAGGCCGAGGAGCAGGCCCCGGGCCCCTGGGGGCGCGCCCTGGGGGGCGGGGCCGCCTGGAGAGCTTGCGCACGCGCACTCCCTCCCCCTCGCGCTCGGCTAGGGCAGGGAACGCCCAGAGGGCGGCGCGCCGGGGAGAGCGGCCTGAGGGGGTCTGGGCTGTGGGGGCGTGCGCACAGCGGCCCTCCGCCTCTGGCGGACGGGAGGGCGGAGCGACGGCACAAATCTGAAAAAGTGTCACCCGTGACCTCAGGTATCGTTTGTAACCACGGAGCAGGGGAAATGCACATGTTAAACAGCCAACCTGAGCGACTGGCAGGATTCAGGCAATGGGCTTCAGGGAAATCCTTAGGGAGCCGGAGGTGTGCCCGGCCTTGACTTCTGGTGACCTTGGAATCACAGGTTTGCCGACGTCTTCAGGGTCGTGTTCCCTGAATCCTAGATAGTGCAAGATTAAAAAGGGTCCCAAGACAAGTGTGGTAGCATTTGCCCGTAAACACAGCCCTGAGAGGCTGAGGTGTGAGGATGAGGAGTTGGAGGCCAGCCTGGGCTACACAGAGGAGCGCCTGTCTCAAAACAAAGACACACCAATAGTGCTTCTCAACAATCCTGAAAAGAAGAAAGGAGCCTTCCTCATTCAGTGCCCTGAAGCTCAGAGATACCTGGGTAAATACCAGGACAGGATATGGCGGTCACCAACCTAACATAATCCAATTACTCCCCCCTCCCCCCCCCCGTTTTTTTGAGACAGGATTTCTCTGTAGCTTTGGAACTAGCTTTGTAGACCAGGGTGGCCTCCAGCTCACGGAGATCCGCCTGCCTCTGCCTCCTGAGTACTGGGGTTAAAGGTGTGCACCGCCACCGCCCTGCTTCAATTATTTTTATCTCTTACTGTAAGGAAAGCATTTCTCAAGCTTTATTGCATCTTGAGGTACCTTACATACCACCATTTTTCTGAAATATCGTTAGCTCATATTTGTCCTTAACTTATGTGGAGAGAACACATGGAAAGCACCTTATGCAAATGAGGTAATTATGTGTGTAGGAACCATATAACAATTATTATTTGCTGAAAATTCAAGACGGAATTTTTTGTTGTCTCCATTTTTTGAGTTAGTCAACAATGAGTTCATTCTACAAATATGTCAAATATTTACGAGGTCTTAGTTATGCAAATAGTTTGAACTTTATAAGATTCCTTATTAGATAACAATTTTTTTGCAGGGGCTGGAGAGATGGTTCAGAGGTTAAGAGCACTGGCTGCTCTTCCAGAGGTCCTGAGTTCAGTTCCTAGCAACCACATGGTGGCTCACAACCATCTGTAATGGGATCTGGCGCCCTCCTCTGGCGTGTGGCCATACATGGAGGCAGAATGTTGTAGCCATAATAAATAAAAAAGTCTTAAAAAAATTTAGGCAGAGGCATGATGTGTTTAGCTATGGAGAAGAATGGCTAGGATACTTGGAAGGAGATGGGGAAATGCTACGGTACCATCATCTTCAAATTCAAATCTTAAAAACAGTAGAGCCCCTTCCCAGACAAGAGCTTCGCAGAATTCCAACATATAAAGTAAATTATGAATGCAATGTGTTTATTTATAAACATTTATACATTTCTTAAATAGTAATTTAATAGGCAAACTGGCACTACATCAAAATCAAGGATGGTCCTGTTGTCTTGGGTTTTGTTTCAAGCGGGGAAGGGATTTGTAAGAAGTAAGTCAGGTAGATTAAATAATAAACGTGGGGTTTGCAGAACCAGACTCAGAAAGTGGCAAAGAGTGGAGGGAGCCTGGCCAGTGAAGACGTAGGTAAGGGCAAACCAAGAATTGTCGTAAAGAGGATGCCCACTCTCACTGCACCTTCAACTCTGGTTTGTTTTCATTATGGGACAGTAACAATTACAGCTGCCAACTGTTTCTTGCATCTTCTGCTTTGACTGACAACTATTCAGAAAAATCCTGATCTTTCCAGAGAAACCAACTATTTATTTATTTATTTATTTATTTATTTATTTATTTTTATTTTTCCATTCAAAAATTTACACTTCCTCCCCTCCTCCCATTCCCCTCCCATTCCCCCACTCCCCCTCCTTCCTCCCCCTGCCTGCTTGAGAGAGGGCAGGGAATCCTGCCCTGTGGGAAGTTCAAGGCCCTCCTCCCTACATCCAGGCCTAGGAAGCTGTGCATCCAAATAGACTCGGGTCCCAAAAAGCCAGTACATGCAGTAAAAACAAGTCCCAGTGCCTTTATCAATGGCTTCTCAGTCAGCCCCCCTTGTCAGCCACAATCAGAGAGTCGGTTTGATCACATGCTCATTCAGTCCCGGTCCAGCTGTATTTGGTGAGCTCCCATTAGAATAGGCACACTGCCTCAGTGGTTGGACCAACCCCTCACCATCCTGACTTCCTCGTTTCTTCCTCCTTCTGCCCTTCAACTGGACCTTGAGAGCTCAGTCCTTGCTCTCTCTGTCTCTGTCTCTATCTCTCTCCATGCCAGGCAAAGATTCTATGGTGATAGTCGAGATAATCATCAGTGTGATAGTGGGGCATGGACAGTTCAGGCACTCTTTCCTCTGCTGCCCAAGAACCTAGCTGGGGACAACCACGTGGACACCTGGGATCCCCTCTAGAGTCTCTTGCCAACCCTAAAATGGCTCCCTGTGCATATGAGATTTAAAAAAGCAAACTACTGATATGGATAACCAAGTATTACATAAGTTCACTGATTTTTGTCATTATGCAGGCTTTGAAAAGGCTAGTGAACAGACAGGGCGGTGGTGGCGCACACCTTTAATCCCAGCACTCAGGAGGCAGAGGCAGGCAGATCTCTGTGAGTACAAGGCCAGCCTGGTCTACAAGAGCTAGTTCCAGTACAGGCTCCAAAGCTACAGAGAAACTCTGTCTTGAAAAACAAAAATCAAAGAAAAACCAAAAAAAGCTAGTGAATAGAAGGACTAATCCTGGATGCTGCTGTGTTGGGTAAACCTCAGAACAGATGAACAGTTTTGTTAGGGCAGGCTGTTTGACTCTCCCCTCTTTTCTATTCTAATGTAAAAAAGTTCTTCCAATGAAAGTAGATAGGTGGGCCATTCTCCATTTTAGAATGTTCTACAGACCACTGTGTCACCTCACTAATATGCCAAAACTTGGGAGTCTTCTAGGCATGCAAATAGTTTGTCACATGTATGCATATTGAATGCTCTCCTAAATATTAAAATTCTCTCCTAAAAATCATTAAGGAGAACACAGTCCCGTAGAAAGATAGAGAACTGGACATATCAGAAATGAAGACATCCTCGTCTGCAATAAATGTGTAAAATGTGCATAATTTCAGCCATTGTTTGAGAAGTGGACATTAAAGTCACAAAATGATAGTATCACATACCCTTTAGAATGACCAGAGTCAAAAAGACAGAAAGTTCGAAGGGTTCCGAATACGGAGAAAGCTTTTCCAAAGTAGAGCAGTTGCATTTTTTAAAGACTTACTTCTTTAGATTCTGTTTGGGTATTTTGCCTGCCTGTATGTCTGTGTACCATGTGCATGTCTTGTGTGCATAGAAGCCAGGAGAGAGCATCAGATCTGTTGGGACTGGAATTGCTGCTGATTGGGAATCACTATGTAAGTGCTAGAAACTGAACCCTGGTCCTCTGGAAGAGCAGCCAGTGCTCTTAACCCTGAGTCATCTCTCCAGCCCCTAACTGGAACTTTTACCCCCACCCCCCAGCCCCTTCCCGTGTGTATGTGTGATAGGCTTTTTTTTGTTTGTTTGTTTTTTGTTTTTTGTTTTTCGAGACAGGGTTTCTCTGTAGCTTTGGAGTCTGTGCTGGAACTAGCTCTTGTAGACCAGGCTGGCCTCGAACTCACAGAGATCCGCCTGTCTCTGCCTCCTGAGCGCTGGGATTAAAGGCGTGCGCCACCACCACCCGGCTGTGTGGTAGTCTTGTTATATTTCCCAGGCTGACCTTCACTCACTGTGCTCTCACCTCAGCCTCATATGCATGACTTACGACACAGACTTGTACTACTCCTAGGTCTATACCTATATTGCTTTATTCGAGCTACTATAACAAAAAATGTCATTTGCTGGGTGATTTTAAACAACAGAAATGTTTTTCTAACCAGGGCATGCAAGGTATTGACCAGTTCCGCTCCTCTGAGAGTTTCCTTCCTGGCTAGCAGATGGCTGCCTTAGCAGGGTACCTCACATGGTGACCCTACTCTTGACAAACCTTCTCAGATTTCAGCTCCACATTATTGACATTTTTAACCTTTAACACCTCTTCTTGGGCCCTGTTTCCAAATGTAGTCACACTAGGCTTCACCATATGAGTGTGGATGTATGTGGAGGGAAACACATTCAGTCTACAGCAATACCTAACATAAACCATGCCTGTATGTTCTCCAAAGCACATGGACTAGAATATTTACAGCATCACTTCATATTTGTAATATTTGATCTATGAATTACACATATCAACTGTATGTCCATGATTTTATATCTTATTATGTTTTCAGTTGTGTGGGGCTTTTCCCGCACTTCTTGCATGCTAAGCAACTGCTCTAGTACTGAGCTAAGTACTCAGCCCTCATTGTTAGTGTTTATTAGGGATCTAGAGAAAGAATATCTCCTTATATGTGTGCGCATTTATTTTCATGTTGTTATTTTAGGGTCTTTTTGTTTGTTTGCTTTTTGTTTGTGCTTTGAGACAAGGTCTCATTGTGTTACCCAGACTGACCTCAGCCTCAGCAGCTGCTGCCACCTCAAGCTTTCAAGTAGCAGGAACTATAGTTGTGCCTCACCACACCCAGTTCTCATGTTTTTACAAGCTTAGAGTGAGATCCTGATTGCTCATGTAAAGTAGTCCTCGTTACCTGACATAAAAGGTTCAGTATATCTGAGGTTTCAGATATTTTCTGGGGATCTTGGGAGGTATCATCTGTAGATAGGCAGATGTATTGAAACAATGTGACTTAAAACAAAGCAGGATAAGGATGTAGATTTTAATTCACTTACATTCTCACAGGAAACTTTAAAGAAATCATACTGCCACACATATGTCAGCATGGTAGT